ATACAATAAGAATATACATGTAAGAACAGTCTATAAACAGTTCTTGCAAGCTATCTATAATTTATTCTTCGTCGGATACAACACAGATAAATCGTTCGATTGCTTCCAAGATTTTTTAGACAAACCCACTAAACTATTTAACTGATGTATCATGTTTGAACTAATTTTTTCTTAGACGGACTTTTTAACACCTGCAAATCCATTTCGTATGAAACAGAATCAACCAAGTACTAGTAATTCACCTAAACAAGCTGTATCTACTTCGCAAACATACGATCGTACCTTATTATTCTCTCCTGAGACAGATATGATTAATAATAAAATCCCATTAAATAATATTATGGCCAATCAACGACGACCATCAAGCTTTTATCAAATGTCAATTATGCGTCAACATGCCAAGATTGCTGACAGCTATAGAATACCAAATTATTCGAATACCCCTCAATTTCAACAACCATTCGACAATACTCTATCAAAACTATCTAAACCTTGTGTGCTAAGAACGGAAACTAGTCGTTGCCAAAAACGCTCTGTTGGAAATTTAAAACGATCTATTTCAGAAATTTCTAACACTTTAAAACTTGATAATTTCGTAATAAAATTATGATTCATTTTCTTTACTCATGTAACCTCATATTATCTCTCAATAAACTAATAGTTAATAATATAGTTTTGTGGGGGATATTGGGGGAACGAGAATGTGATTATGAAGAAGCATGGTAATTATAAGCTTTGCATAAAAGTGGTATGCTCAAACTTTGATACCTATAGTTGTGGTCCTGTGACAGTAGATGCCTCATTAAGGTCGCCACTAATGTGCCTTATTTCACTGCCTACACTTCTCATCTCAATAGCATTATTCTATGAATAAGTAGGGGAATTTATGAATACCTTAGCACTAATCACTCATAGGTTTCACCAGAACCTAGAAAACAAGTGATTGAATGCCGAAGATTGTTTCTTAACAGCGATGATGCCTTCCCACAAGGAGGGGTGGAGTGAGAAAAGGTCGACCCTAAAAATACACACCTCGCCTTATCCCACGGATATCCGTCTCCGGCGGTAAGGTCTCAACAAGTACGGAGCTAACACAAAAATTGCCCATAAAAAAGTCGTGTGTAACCGACCTCAAGCAGTTGTCCCTTGGGCACTGCGGTCACGCTCCCTGGTCACTGAGACCACCTCTAATCCAATTTCCTTTTCAGGTACCTCCGGAAGAACCCTTCCACGGTGTGGGCAACCGGGAAGTGATAACCGCCCTCATAACTCTAACTGCACTCAAGACCACTGGATTCATAATCAACCTCCTCCTTCAATTCCTACTACATTGACTTTCAACTCTAAACTTCTTTTTTCGGCATCCCACTCAAATGTCACCATTTCCGACGATTCTAGTGCTCAAAACTCTGTCCCAGGTCTACTGAAACCTCGCTACAAACTACACATTGGAGCCTTCAATGTACGCAGCCTGTGTCAAATCGGTCAGTAGGCCTCCTTAGCTGAAACACTAGAATCTCGTACCATTGATGTATGCTGTTTCTCCGATACACGTGTACAGGATCCTAGTGTGGTCATTCACTCGACCTCACCTCGGCGAAACGGAGAGCCGACGAGATACACCCTCCGTGTATCTGGTGACCCGATGGCCAGCTCTCGTGGACTGGCAGGTGTAGGCATAGCACTAAGCATGAGGGCGGAACAAGCACTGTTAGAGTGGATCCCCGTCAACAGTCGTCTATGTGCTGTTCGGCTAAACGGCTCCGTAAGAACTCGTAAGGATAGGGACACACGTCGTTGCCTTTTTGTCGTTTCTGCCTACGCTCCAACCGACTGCAGCTCAGATGAAGTGAAAGATGAATTTTACAAAAAGCTAAACGCGCAGACATAGTACTCGTAGGGGGTGACTTTAATGCTCAGATAGGCAGTTTAAACCAAACAGAAAGGCATTTAGGTGGGTATTTTAGTATTCCGACACAGCGAACAGATAATGGTGATCGTCTGCTGCAACTATGCTCAGACAATCGTTTATTTTTAGCAAACACAAATTTTAAGCATAAGGAAAGACATCGTCTAACATGGCGACCCCCTATACCAAACCAACGATGGACTCAAACAGACCATATTGCTATCAGTCATCGTTGGAGAGGGTCGGTACAAGATTATCGCTCATTCTGGAGTACCTGTTTGGACACCGATCATGCCCTAATACGGACACGCATCTGCTTGAGCCTCACTAAAAAGATCCATTAGATCTGAATTGAGTAACGAGAACACCAAAAGTAGGTTCCAAGAACAACTGAGGTCACAATTAGGTAGTTCTGAAAACCAGGCTGACCCAGATGTTGCTTGGAAAGACATACAAACAGCACTGACATCTGTTAGTGATTTAAACCACAATGTTACAAAGAATCAATGGATTTCTTCAAGGTCCATTGCACTGATGGATTCCCGCAAACTCGTTCCATCAGGATCCGAACATGATGAAGAGCGTAAACAAATCAGATCTGGTTTAAGCAAAAGTCTGAGGAACGACCGTGAGCAGTGATGGGTAACGGAAGCAAAAGATATGGAAAAGGCGGCGGCTATAGGGAACACAAGACAGCTTTACAGACTAATAAAAGAAACTGGAACTAATAAGTCAAGTGTAAGTCAGACTATTTCGGAAAGAGACGACACCCTCATCTGATCTCAGTCCAGACGTTTAGAACGATGGGCGGAACACTTTAGGGAACATTTCAGCTGGCCTTCAGCGACTCTACAACTACCGTCCATTTCCAGACAGTGTGAATGAAATGGACAGCTGGTCCAGATGAATTGGCTCGAAGGGTCTTTAAGGATGGTGGTCCAATTTTAGCGGTTAAATTGACTAATATTTTAGCTAAGATCTGGGAGTTAGATGTTATTCCATCTGAATGGTCGCCATCACTTATCGTCCCAATATATAAGAAAGGATCAAAATCATCTTGTGACAACCACAGAGGGATTAGTTTAACAAATATAGTATCTAAAATACTAGCTTCAATAATAATCAGACGCCTAACTAAGACTCGAACTGAAAACAGGAGAATCAAGCTGGCTTCAGACCTGGTCGTGGCTGCATCGACCACATATTATTCACCATTCGACAGGTTCTAGAACATAGGCACAGTTACCGACGTCCGACAATGGTGGTTTTTCTTGACTTAAAAACAGCATTTGACTCGGTAGACCGCGAGATTATGTGGCAGTGTCTGTCATTGAAAGGCGTACCTCAGAAGTACATAAGCCTTGTAAAGGCTCTTTACTCGAACACTACTAGTCGAGTCAGGGCTTATGGCGAACTGTCATCTGCTTTGCAACCTCAAGTGGTGTCCGTCAAGGCTGTCCACTTTCTTCATTTTTGTTTAACTTCATCATAGACCTATTGATGGAAATAACACTCTCATCTACTGTATTCTCGGGTATTGTCCTCCTTCCAAGAGGTCCACTTATCGACTTGGAATACGCAGATAATATAGTCCTGTTTGGTGAAGACACTGATAAAATGCAGAGTCTTTTGGTAGCACTAAGCAGCAATGCCAGAATGTTTGGAATGCGCTTCGCTCCCTCTAAATGCAAGTTGTTGCTTCAGAACTAGTCTGCGTCAACACCTGAACTAAGGATAGAGAGTGAAGTGGTCGAACGCGTTGACAACTTCACTTATCTTGGAAGTCTGATCAGCCCTAATGGGCTGGTATCGGACGAAATCTCAGCACGGATTCGAAAAGCTCGCTTAACTTTTGCCAACTTACGTCACCTTTGGCGAAGGCGAGATATCCGTCTATTAATAAAAGGATGAGTATACTGCGCGGCAGTTCGTTTTGTCTTACTTTACGGCAGCGAAACATGACCATTAAGAGTAGAAGATACCCGTAAGCTACTAGTATTTGACCACAGATGCCTTAGAAATATTGCTCGCATCTGCTGGGATCACCGGGTAAGGAATAGTGAGGTTAGACGCAGGGTATTAGGGAATGACGGTAAATCAGTTGATGAGGTTGTTAATCTTCATCGACTGTGATGGTTGGGCCACGTGTTACGTATGCCTGCACACCGATTACCACGTCGTGCAATGCTAACGGGTGTTAGAGATGGTTGGAAGAGAATTAGGGGCGGCCAAACCAAAACGTGGCATCAGTGCTTGAAGACACTAACTTCTAGTCTGAACCATGTTGGTAGATGCAGACTACTTGGTTGGGGTCCGCGTGACTGTCGTAACCGATGGTTGGAGACTCTTGGTGACATGGCTCAGAATCGATCACAATGGCGTCGGTGCATACACTCCCTGTCTTCCCTTAAACTAAGAGATTAAAATAACTTCATATCTTTCTTTCTACGAACTAATTCTTTCTTCCTGTATTATGCAGTCTTTATTTTATATATTACCACCATTAACTTAATCACTCCTATAAATCCAGTGTTCACCTTGCCGTGCTAATGCGGTATGGCAACTTGGACCAATGCATTTATATGCCTGGTCCTACATTGTAGCTGATTGACTGACCGACGTTTCACTAGCAGTCAGTCAAACAAAGTGCACCTATCCGATGTAGAGGGTAAAGTAGTGGACATATTTAAATATCTCAAGCCACCATACATAGAAAAAATAGAGGCGTAAACCAACCCTACTTAACTGTTAGGTAATAGATGTACAAGACATGCTGATAATCCAGTGGTGTTTTACCTAAGGAATTGAGTATATTGTACTTCATATTACTGAACTAAGCAATCAACGTTCCCGAACTTATTCAGCCGCTTACTGTGAGACCGGCTTCAAGTGAATAATTATCGATGACTTAAAGGACTAAACCCATGTTTGACTGGGCCGCTCCTAACTTTTCCAGTAGTCATGAATAGCTATTATATATGAGGGTTTGTATGTATATTATATTTCTGCTTCAATAGACTAAAAGGTTTTAAACAGTCAAAATGAATATTTAGATTTTCAATTTTTTCAGCAATTTCTTTATAATTCTACGCACACATTTTCCTGACTAAACAGATAACTACGAAGACTCTGTTGGCATTATGTTTGAGTGACATAAATAAAAACTGTTAAGAATCCCAATAAAATATTTGTTTTTAATAACTTCATCATTAGGCTCTACAGCTATTAGTCCATAATTATTGTGTTATTTGTACAAAAGTCAAAATAAGGCATGTATTACTGAATTAGACAATGTTATATGTTTAAAATGGCGAAGTTATTTAAAACAATTATTTGGTCAAATATCTTTTGTTTTTGAAAAAAACTCAGTAAATAAATACTCGCAATGTTCTTAGTTTCAGTATCTTTAGCAGCTAACTTTCGAAACGATATATTACAGTATTGTAAGTCAATAAGTAGATATCTTAGTACTACTTCGTATTTGCTTGTAGTAATTTAGCATAGGTTTGAATGAATGACCGAAAAACTACTTTGAAATCTATTGTTTTCAAAATCTACAATACCATATTTAGATGCAGAAACAACAAAGAAATTAGTTATATTTACACAACTACACACAACTGCAAGATGGAGGAAGTTAAGATTATAAGTAATAGGTTCATCTTACAATTCATAGTTTTTTACCACGTTTTTTTGACCTGTCTAAATGTTTACTCGTCATTGCTTCTTTGTCAGGACATTGAATAACATATCGTTGAGGTATTTTAATAGCTGGAGCATAACCTTCAGGGTAGGATGAATCTTCAAAATAAAGGGAATACTCATCATGTATCTAGAATAAGAAAATAGAGAGTAATTATCAAATGATTAATTGCACAAAATGAATTGTATTTATTCACGTGTAAACGTTTATTAAAGCATAAGAGTTCTTTTACTTTCATATCCCAGACAAAACTAAAATATTAAATGTGTTCATTACTTATTTTGTGCCAGTAGTAGTATGTATGTTCATGAGATTCATGCGTAATGGTGACAATTTTATGTACACAATACTGCTAATATAATATAACAAACCAATAAATCACTTGAATGTAGGTGACCAGTGTTTTCCGAGTTTCTATTCTTTAATTATTATGTACTCCTTTCAAAGTGTAGAAAGTATTAAGATAACACGATGAATAACTTACATGAATTGGGATTTCATCCACAATTGCTTTGTAGAAACATGTTGTTTGTGGATAAAGAGCTAAAACAGTCTGTAGAAAAAAAAATTAAAATACAACTAGTAACTGTCGTTCAGATTCAGTTGATATGTGTGATGTAAACGGAGAATATAAAATAGAAATCGCCTTTATATAAAGGGTAAGTTTATCTTTTGTATTATTGTATACCACGATTAAAAAATTATTCATAATTTCCTAGGGACGCAGATTACACACCAAACTTGCAGACACTAATTAACTATTTACTAAATACTCGATAATTGAACAATTTGTTGGTGGCGATTAAAATATGATTTGCAAACTCAAAATTGAGTGATAATTTAATTTGAATAACTTAGGTTATCCCAAACGACAATGGGTTTGAGTTCCAAAGTGAACATTAACTATGCGATGCAAGTACGTTCAGTCGATGAGTCCCGAATAAGACGAAACGCTCCTCCTGAATTCCAACGCTAGCCACATTTCACCTATTCTATTTAAAATTGAATAGTTTATCTCGAGATGCACATTGACACTATATATCTCTTTTGAAGCTGCCTCCAACGTTATCAAACACCCTGCTTATTTTGGAAAATAGGAGAGTATATAACTACACTGTTTACGTTCTAAGGAGATAATATAGTTATAACTTCAGATATACCACTTTTCAACCGAAAACCCTAGAGAAGAGGTTTGTCTAACGAGTCGACATCGAAACATTTGTAAGTGTTCAACACTTTGACGATGAATGAAGAAATAATCCATAAATTCACAACCTACTCCTCACTGCGTATGAATTATTTAGCCAATACTCTCGAGGAAATTGGCAGTATACTCACGCCGCGATAATCATCACATTATTTATTTATTTTATTTTAACACATAGATATTGGTACAAGGAGGCACCAAATACATATGCGCCACACAAATCTCATTTGGTATGGGTGAGGGCTGTGATACTGCCTGAGTGTCCAAACCTCCAACTAACTAACACCATGATTAGAATTTTACTCTATAACGTTGTATCAGTTATGAGTCATGATTGAACTAGGTATGACAGAACTGATTTGCATCCTACCTTTATCTTCTGATTGGCCACTGGATTAGAAGGAGCTCGAAGACCAGTAAGCGTTAAAGTCTTGTTAATTGTTCAGTGGTGGATGTGTTAAGTATCATATAAAAAATCACCGATCTTAGTGGAAATGTAAGTGAACTAATCGATAACTTGACTAAAGATGGATCATACAACTGCTTTCTTATCAATACGGCTCAATCACACGGGACACGAGAAAACAATCTATTGTTTTCTTTCGACATGCTAATTAACGATGCGTATAAGATTAGAAATTAAGTAAATAAAATAATATTGGTTAGATAGTAAACAAAATGGGCCTGACTTACAGCACCTTTATTGAATATTGCCTCAGGATTTGTAATTGGATTGGCTTTCCATTTTGGTAAAGGTATAACTTTAGAACGGGATAGAGAGTAACGCCTTGACATAAAAAAATATATACAATTTTTTCAATGAAATCTTAAATTTTAGTATGAATAAAATATATGTACACACAAAAGCATGGAAAACGAAAGAAAACAATAGTTAGCTCACCTAAAAATGTGTTAGTTTTGTTTAGAGAATGAAAGATGTATGGTTACAATTTTCTCCTCGACAAAGTACAAATGCATATTAAGTGAATAATAACACATGGATGAGAGGAAACAATGTTTAATAAGCTTTTATGAAACTAAGTCAGATATGTGACACAAATACACAGATGAAATTTGTTTTTAAAATGGTCACACTAAATTATATTCTATCCCTTATACAGTTAATTAATTGTAATCGGACAAGGTTAGGTTAAATATGTGCAGATAAAATATTACGAAGCATGCAAATTATTCTTTTTCAATTTTAATAAGAATGATGTAATAATACAATGAATAGAAATGATAAAATCATATAAAAATGATTTTCTCACAATGGTAGTGATTAATGATAATAGTAATGAGCAAGCTAAAAATGTTGAATATATTTGTGACGTGAATAGAACACTATTTACTTGCAATTAAATTATAATATGATAAATTTATACATAAACATTTCATAGGAAATAGTTGAATTTTGTAATACTCACTTTGGCCTGCAAATTACGGAATGTAAATTAATACATCTTGCTTTTTATAGGGTTCATAATCCGTTTTGAAAGAACAAGGAATGTACATAACAATGACCATATATATATATATATATATATATATATATATATATATATATATATATATATAATGATCTAGCTGCACAAACCTTAGTACAGTTGATTCATTAACTCAATTAACGATTACTCACTAAAAATTTGTCGTTTATAGATAAGATCATAGTCGACATTGACCCTAGGACAAATTCACGTAACCCCACATGTTGAAATCACATTATTGAGGCGTTATTTAATTAAGAAAATAAACATCAGAAAAGTCCAAATAATAGTGAAATCAATGATGGTGATAAACACTAAACATTAAAAACACGTTTCGAAAAAGTGAGATAATTTCAACGGATGGAAAATGTACGGATAATATTCCAGTTAAAGATACAAAAGAAGAAGAATGAACGCGTCTATATCACCTAAATTTCTTCAACCTATTCTTATTCTGACCATCAGTGGACATCAGGATAAGCGGTGCTCAGTCATCCATAGCATATGTCTGGACGTAGTGGCGTGAGCCTGTAATCCATCTGCTTAAAGGTCAGTGTGCAGGATTCCGTGGGAGCGGGAGTTCCGGAGTATGGGTGCTCATGTTACCCTCAAATGACCTGGTACGGCCGAGGGTGGGGAGAGTCAGCTGTCCCTCACGAAATGCCCTCACACGAACACGCGTATACAGCTACTGCCACGAAAGTACTACTCACTGCCTTCTCGCAGCATTACTGTTGTTTACGAAATCGAGAGGACGAGAAGCAAATGTCTGGTGCTTTAACCGGGTTGGTGCATAAAGGCGCGACCGTTGTTGCTACCTTGACGTGGTGGTCGGGCTTGCCTGTCGTGATGAAGCAACCGAGCTATACTGGCTAGAACAACCGTTCTTCAAGGTCCTACCATGTCAGACAGGTCGGTTGAAGAGCGGTAAGACTAAAAGCAACAAATCTAAGGTCCAAAGGCGAAGTCGTACTGCTGATTGTACAGAGGTGTGACAGCAGTAAGGTGTTTCCTTCAGACAACCAGCATGACAGCGATGCTGCCTTCCCACAAGGAGGGGTGGAATTAGAAAAGGTCGACCCTAAAAACGCACACCTCGCCTTATCCCACGGATATCCGTCTCCGGCGGTAAGGTCTCAATAAGTACGGAGCTAACACAAAAATTGACCATAAAAAAGTCGTGTGTGACCGACCTCAAGCAGTTGTCCCTTCGGCACTGCGGTCACGCTCCCTGGTCACTGAGACCACCTCTAATCCAATTTCCTTTTCAGGTACCTCCGGAAGAACCCTTCCACGGTGTGGGCAACCGGGAAGTGATAACCGCCCTCATATCTCTAACTGCACTCAAGACCACTGGATTCATAATCAACCTCTGTCTTCAGTTCCTATTATTGCTCCTACATCGACTTTCAAATCTAAACTTCCTCTTTCGGCTTCCTCCTCAAATGTCACCATTTCCGACGATTCTAGTGCGTGAAACACTGTCCCAGGTCTACTGAAACCTCGCTACAAACTACACATTGGAGCCTTCAATGTATGCACCCTGTGTCAAATCGGTCAGCAGGCCTCCTTGGCTGAAACACTAGAATCTCGTACCATTGATGTATGATGTGTCTCTGAAACACGCATACAGGATCCCAGTGTGGTCATTCACTTGACCTCACCTCGGCAAGACGGAGAGCCAACGAGATACACCCTCCGTGTATCTGGTGACCCGATGACCAGCTCTCGTGGACTGGCAGGAGTAGGAATAGTACTAAGCATGAGAGCGGAACAAGCACTGTTAGAGTGGATCCCCGTCAACAGTCGTCTATGTGCTGTTCGGCTAAACGGCTCCGTAAGAATTAGGAAGGATAAAGACACACGTTTCTGCCTACGTTCCCACCGACTGCAGCTCAGATGAAGTGGAAGATGAATTTTACAGAAAGCTGTCCGAACTTCTTCAGAAAGCCAAATGCGCAGACATAGTACTCGTAGGGGGTGACTTTAATGCTCAGATAGGCAGTTTAAACCAAACAGAAAGGCATTTAGGTGGGTATTTTAGTATTCCGACACAGCGAACAGATAATGGTGATCGTCTGCTGCAACTATGCTCAGACAATCGTTTATTTTTAGCAAACACAAATTTTAAGCATAAGGAGAGACATCGTCTAGCATGGCAACCCCCTACACCAAACCAACGATGGACTCAAACAGACCATATTGCCATCAGTCATCGTTGGAGTGGGTCGGTACTAGATTGTCGATCATTCCGGTGTACCTGCTTGGACTCCGACCATGCCCTAATACGGTCACGCATCTGCTTGAGCCTCACTAAAAAGATCCATTAGATCTGAATTGAGTAACGAGAAAACCAAAAGTAGGTTCCAAGAACAACTGAGGTCACAATTAGGTAGTTCTGAAAACCAGGCTGACCCAGATGTTGCTTGGAAAGATATACAAACAGCACTGACATCTGTTAGTGATTTAAACCACAATGTTACAAAGAATCAATGGATTTCTTCAAGGTCCATTGAACTGATGAATTCTCGTAAACTCATCCCATCAGGTTCCGAACATGATGAAGAGCGACAACAAATCAGATCTAGGTTAAGAAAACGTCTAAAAAACGACCGTGAGCAGTGGTGGATAAAGGAAGCAAAAGAGATGGAAAGGCGGCGGCTATAAGGAACACAAGACAGCTCTACAGACTAATAAAAGAAACTGGAATTAATAAGTCAAGTGTAAGTCAGACTATTTCGGAAAGAGACGACACCCTCATCTGATCTCAGTCCAGACGTTTAGAACGATGGGCGGAACACTTTAGGGAACATTTCAGCTGGCCTTCAGCGACTCTACAACTACCGTCCATTTCCAGACAGTGTGAAAGGAACATTGAAATAGGTCCCCCAACTCTAGCAGAAGTTCAAAAGGCTATAGTTAATCTGAGACGAGGAAGGGCAGATGGATTGGCTCGAAGGGTCTTTAAGGATGGTGGTCCAATTTTAGCGATTAGGTTGACTAATATTTTAGCTAAGATCTGGGAGTTAGATGTTATTCCATCTGAATGGTCACAATCACTTATCGTCCCAATATATAAGAAAGGATCAAAATCATCTTGTGACAACCACAGAGGGATTAGTTTAACAAATATAGTATCTAAAATACTAGCTTCAAAAATAATCAGACGTCTAACTAAGACTCGTGAACTGAAAACAGGAGAATCAAGCTGGCTTCAGATCTGGTCGTGGCTGCATCGACCACATATTATTCACCGTTCGACAGGTTCTAGAACATAAGCATACTTACCGGCGTTCGACAATGGTAGTTTTTCTTGACTTAAAAACAGCATTTGACTCGGTAGACCGCGAGATTATGTGGCAGTGTCTGTCATTGAAAGGCGTACATCAGAAGTACATAAACCTTGTAAAGGCTCTTTACTCGAACACTACTAGTCGAGTCAGGGCTTATGGCGAACTGTCATCTGCTTTTGAAACCTCAAGTGGTGTCCATCAAGGCTGTCCACTTTCTTCATTTTTGTTTAACTTCATCATAGACCTATTGATGGAAATAACACTCTCGTCTACTGAATTCTCGGGTATTGTCCTCCTTCCAGGAGGTCCACTTATCGACTTGGAATACGCAGATGATATAGTCCTGTTCGGTGAAGACGCTGATAAAACGCAGAGACTCTTGGTAGCACTAAGCAACAATGCCAGAATGTTTGGAATGCGCTTCTCTCCCTCTAAATGCAAGTTGTTGCTTCAGAACTAGTCTGCGTCAACACCTGAACTAAGGATAGGGAGTGAAGTAGTCGAACGCGTTGACAACTTATCTTGGAAGTCTGATCAGTTCTGATGGGTTGGTGTCTAACAAAATCTCAGCACGGATTCGAAAAGCTCGCTTAACTTTTGCCAACTTACGTCACCTTTGGCGAAGGAGAGATATCCGTCTATCAATAAAAGGACGAGTATACTACGCGGCAGTCCGTTCTGTCTTACTTTACAGCAGTGAAACATGGCCATTAAGAGTAGAAGACACCCGTAAGCTACTAGTATTTGACCACAGATGCCTTAGAAATATTGCTCGCATCTGCTGGGATCACCGGGTAAGTAACAGTGAGGTTAGACGCAGGGTATTAGGGAATGATAGTAAATCAGTTGATGAGGTTGTTAATCTTCATCGACTGAGATGGTTGGGCCACGTGTTACGTATGCCTGAACACCGATTACCACGTCGTGCAATGCTAGCGAGTGTTAGAGATGGCTGGAAGAGAATTAGGGGCGGCCAAACCAAAACGTGGCATCAGTGCTTGAAGACACTAACTTCTAGTCTGAGCCGTGTTGGGAGATGCAGACTACTTGGTTGGGGTCCGCGTGACTGTCGTAACCGATGGTTGGAGACTCTTGGTGACATGGCTCAGAATCGATCACAATGGCGTCGGTGCATACACTCCCTGTCTTCCCTTAAACTAAGAGATTAAAATCACTTCATATCTTTCTTTCTACGAACTAATTCTTTATTCCGGTACTGTATCCTTATATGCAATCTTTCTCCTGTATATTACCACCATTAACTTAATCACTCCTATAAATCCAGTGTTCACCTTGCTGTGCTAATGAGGTATGGCAACCTGGACCGATGCATATATGTGCCTGGTCCTACGTTGTAGCTGACTGACTGACTGGTGCATGTAGGAGATCCATCTAAGGGAGTTAGAAAACTATGATTCCAAGCCAATGGTGCATATTGGCTCCAGGATCCTAAGGGAACAAATGGCGTATGAGCCAATTATTGGTCACCGGCTATCATAGGACTGCATCTCCTTACGTTGTTCCACTGCTTTGTGGATCAGACCTTTAGGTTGGAGGCTCCGGGTGTGACCCCCTAGGAAAAGCACCTGCCTCGGTCTGGGCATCCGGGCAGTATCACAGCTCACACATAAATCAAGTGACTTGTGTGGCGCATATGCATTCGTTTCGCATTTGTACGATTATTTGTGTTCAAATAAATAAATCCCAGACAATTGAGTTGTAAACTAAATCTCACTAACCGAATTGACATATCTGCATAGTAACCGACGCTTAAGTTTACCATTGCTCCCTGTTGTTCCACAATAAGCGAAAAAACCATGACCAAAGGCTTATTAGGTAAAACAACGTATACTAAGTTAAAAACCCAAAACAAATACCTAATCTTTCAGTACATATGATTAAGTAGTGGTTAATATTATTTTGGTAGTTTTGGTTGGTATACGGACGATGATTAATGCTAGAAAAAACATTGATAGGAATCAAACTAGCATTACGGTGAATAGCAGTATGCTGTAGTATCAGCTGAAGTATATAACGGAATTATTGATTGGATTTAATATCAACTTCAAAGTTCTGTCCCACTAACGCACCAGTAAATTTACAATAAAAAGCATATTCGTCAAATTAGTAAACAACTTACTAGATGACCCAATACGTCTATTAAAATATATCTGGTCGAAGCATGTTACATACAGATATTGAAATGATAAAGATTTACAGCTCGGGTAGACATTTTGGTGGTATAATGTTCTCTGAACTAGACAGTTTAATTGAGAAACCTTCTTTGACGTCCTGAACAGCATCATCAAGTAGGTGCTGATGGTATCTGTACCATTAATGAAGGCTTCGCAAATACACTATCCAACTTAAAGAACATAACACCGACAAAAACATGTAAACACAGATGAAAAGTCTATGAACTAATATAATTGTCTATCATTTTGAGATGTAATTTACAAGCGGTTATAACCAATCAGGTTACGGTGACGGTATAAAACAAAACAAATCCACTACTAACAAAACACGAAGTAGACGAGTCTGATTTACACAAGCTGTGAAGCATGATATACAAATAAGTTAGTTTTTTCATCAATTTCTAATGGAGATATTAAGTGGGAACACCTTGTCGAAGACATCTATAGTCGAACACTAGTAACTTACGAATATCCTCTACTCTTACCGGCCATGTTTCACTGCCATAAAGTAGGACGGGACGTACTGCTGCACAGTAAACCCGTCCTTTGGTTGATAGACGGATATCTCGCCTACGCCATAAATGACGCAAGTTGGTAAAAGCTAGTCGAGCCTCCTGTATCCGTGCTGAGATTTCGTCACATACCAGACCACAAGGGCTGATGAGACTTCCAAGATAAGTGAAGCGATCGACACACTCAATAACTTCACTCCCTATCACTAGTTCGGGTGTCGATGTAACCCAATCCTGAAGCAACATTTTGCATTTCGAGGGAGAGAATCGCATCCCGAACATGCTTGCATTGTTGCTTAGAGTGCTCAGAAGACTCTGCATTTTGTCAGCGTCTTCGCCAAATAAAACTATGTCATTGGCATATTCTATGTCAACAAGTGAACCTCCTGGTAGAAGTACAACCCCTGGAAATTTAGATGAGGAAAGTGTCATCTCTAAAAGTACGTCAATGACAAAGTTGGACAAGAAAGGAGAGAGTGGACAGCCCTGACGAACACCACTTGAGGTAATCAATTCTGATGACAGTTCGCCATAAGCTCTCACTCTACCAGTTGTGTTCGAGTAGAGAGCCTGAATAAGGTTAATGTACTTCTTTGGTACTCCTTTCAGTGACAAACACTGCCATAGAACCTTACGATCAACAGAGTCGAATGCCGCCTTAAGGTCGAGAAATACTACCATTTGGGGCGTCTAAACGTGTGTCTGTGTTCTAGAACCTGACGTAGTGTGAATATTTGGTCTATACAACCACGTCCAGGTCGAAAACCGGCCTGGTTTTCTCTAGTTTGCTCTTCACGAGCTTTGATTAGGCGTCGAAGTATTATTGAAGCTAATATTTTAGACACTATATTGGTCAAACTGATTCCTCTGTGATTGTCACAAGAGGACTTTTGTCCTTTCTTATAGACTGGCACAGTCAGTGATTGAGACCAGTCAGATGGGATTACGTCCAGTTCCCAAATTCTACCTAAGACCTCAGTTAATCTCACTGCTAATACTAAACCACCATCCTTAAAAATCTCAGGAGTATTCTTTAGGCATCAGTTATTGTCCCAAGAAATAACGACAAGAGCATACACCACTTATTACTTCGCTTACAATTTGGAACTACATTTCACGACATTTTATACTTAGAAATAAAGTGCACGAAACAATAACCGTGGAGCCAATTTTTAGGTAACTTACATCTTCCCTTCTTCGGCATCAACATCTTCTACCTCATAGATTTCTTTATCGGGATTATACGAAACAACTTCAGCCAATATACAACCTTCAGATAAATTACAAGCAGCAGCTGCCACATCTGGTTCTGGAACAAGGGCGGCAACATGATCACCAGGATCAGCGGGAATATTTGGTGATGGTCCTGTTGCACCACACAGAGCAGGGGGACTGAGTAGGAATAATTAACTACGTCAAACCAACCTCTCACCGGGTTTACCTATCCAAAGTGGTATCGATTTGGCATTTTCTTGCAAAACTGACATTAGTACACCGCGGCGAAAACTTTTCGGACCAACATGTGTTCCTAAGAAGTTTGGCTGGCTATGTTTGGACTTACTCAACTTATATTCTAGAGCACGAATTTCCGATACTTTTTCTAGAGCAGCCATAAGAGTACTGTAAAAAAATAAGGAAGTGTCTATTGACTGACTCACGCTTTTTGATGTTCAGCTTCACTAATTGCCTGTGTATATAAGGACTTCAACTGACTTTTGACAACTTTAATTGTGAGTGTTACTGCCATAACTTACTAACCTTTAGAACCACGTTGTTTGCAACGTAATTTATCAAGTGAATCAAGTGTTGGCTTCACGTCATTGCAGTCAGCCTATAAAAATCATGTTTACGTATGATAAAACATACAACTGCTTTTTTACATAAAGACAGAAGTTCATCAGCGCGATCTTTAATTTGAGCTTGTTCTGGAATCATATTTGCTGTAAACGCCATACTGACAGGTGTGTAAATAATTATCCTAAAAGTGAGTGGCTTATAGGGAAAGCATGCATATTACAGCATTATTTCAAAGAAAATTATTAAAATTCAAAGAATTAGTCAAAGACAACCATTATTTGTTTAACAATAAAGTAAAATACCTTAAAGAATTTTTCAGGAAACAAGAAGTATCTTACAGATGTTTTACCTACAAACAAATGTGCGTATAGATTGAGGATGAAGAAACAACTAAAACTGTTACAAACCGAGGAGGAAAGTGGATCTTAAGCTCTCCTTGTGTTAAGGGAGTCAGTGACATTTATATACAATTCATTTTCAATTAGTAGATAAATCAAGTCATGTAACAGTAAGATAAAACATGAGGCACACGAAAATACGACAAATATAGATACTCCATGCGTCCATGTATTTCAAGCAAACGATTGAGGAAAAAGAGGCGGACTTGGTGGTTATAAAGGGTAAATTCCCTAAAAATCGATATGAAAATTTAACACATTGTCGCTCTTTTCTACAGCCCGAGGAAAACGTGCAAACTTACCATTAAAATTCCCCAATGCAGAAAAATGTCCCGGTTAATACCTTTACTTTTCGCAAATAATTTACATTTCCCCAAAAATAAACACCGAGTTCCCTACTTCACCCCAACATTACCACGTTAAATAGTTTATTATAGTTTGTATACCTAAGTTCTCCTTCAAAACTTTAGGGCAAGATATGTTTCCCTTTAGTCTAGGACTACGTATTCTTAAGGCCGACTTGGGAATGTTCAAAAGACACTATTTAAAAAACGGACGGTAAGGTTTTGCTTTCCCGATTTAGCTGTCAACGCGTGAAAACTACCCAAACATGTATACGAGGGCTCCATAAACAAAAAAACTACTTTTTCACAGAAACACTTACAAAATCTTAACACAGACTAATTGTCTATATATCTAGAGAATATGAAGTTCAAAGTGCTGGATCCATTTCGTTTTTGAATTAAACTCGGGATTGACCTTGGAATGCTAATCCCATTCATAAAAGCCGCCTTACATATAGGTCGATTAATTGTAGACGGAATAGACGAAGCTTTCGCTTAACAGGCATCTGCATCGAGTAGCAGTGAATCACTGGTGCCTTCAGGTAGAAACCTAGGTGTGTTTATCAGTAAAAATAGAAATATTAGTAAATTATGACAAAATACTGTCCTGGGTTCTTATGGATAAGTCTTTTCCTCTCGAAGGTCTTCTGGGAGGTCGCAAGGACCACCTTTGCCGGCTATGAATTTCAGAATAGTCCTAAAGAGTGAATTGTGCGCATACAGCCAATTCTTCGATAGTGTGTTTTTAATTTCTAAGTGTCACCCCTATGGTTTGTGTTGGGACTGAGCTTAAGTAAGTACTTGACAGGGTGCTCTTGAGTGTCTAGGATGATATAAGTCATTAAAAGGTCACCTCAGAGGCCCCTGCACTATGAGAGGTAAAGATTCAATGATTTGAAAGACTCTTTATTAGTTTGGAATTTGAGTCCTCTAACTGAATTTGCCTTCCGATATATTCCAGTGTATCCTTATTCTACGGAGTGACGGAAGACACCATATTTCCATACTCTAAATACAGCCGGATAAAACTGGTAAGGACTAAGCTGTAGCGGTAAACAAACCCACAAAATAAATATCTCCGTGAGTCTTCGACATTGGATACTGTCCACATTGGTTTTAATAGACTCACCTAGTTGAAGGCGCTCAGTCATGCATCCACTTGGCTAGCCACGCCTTAGGGTCATCACTACCCCACTAGGAGAAGAAGTGATCTGTAGCGCGAATAAATCCCCAAAATAAATAGCTCTGCAAGTTTTCAACATTGGATGCTGATCGCATTAGTTTTAATGGACTCACCTAGCTGAAGGCTCTCGTTCATGCATCTACACCAGATCACGAGTGGGAACACCTTGCACAACATCCCCTACAATCGCTAGCCAGATTAGATCAGACGGTCCTCGATATATTGATAGCCTATCAAATATATATTCGAACCTACTCGCTTCCGTCTTTTGATTTCACTCGGTGGGTACGATACATATTAGGTGTTACTGGTTAAAGCGTTGTCAAACTTTGAATACCTGTGGCATCTTCAAAGTGAAACGCTTTACCGCCAAACTGGTCAAAATGGGATTAAGCGCTACGCGTGAATGGCTTGTTCGAAAGGATTTTTTGTCGCACTTTGCGCTAGACTTCAGATAATGGGATACGAAGACTTCTAGATCTCTTTGTGACCCGATATCTAACTCCAGTTGAATCGCATGTTGACTGTTGTTGAAACACAAAAGTCTATTCTCGTATATAATCATCGACTTAACTCGCGTTAGTGCATGACAGAACTAAGTAAGTCAAATACGAGAATGGATTTCGAATACGTGCATTTCATACAGTCGTTAATTCAGACAAATAATCGAAGAAAAAAAAGTGTCGTGAAGAAAGTGGAGCAAAATGACGCGCGGTGAAGATATATAAGCCTGTTTGTGTTATGACTTGTCCTCGCTTATTACTTATACTTGTAAAATGAAGAACCAGTGCATCTCCCACAAGGCGAAGTAAAAACATCAAAACTGGTACAAATGAAGATTTATTAACCACAAAATACGATGACAGCCCTAATCGAAAATACACTTGTGGTGTGGCGTCGAGTAGCGGTTGGCCATGGTCACCACTACAGGAAGACTACGTGCCAGTTAGTCGATAAGATCCCCCGTCAGCCAAATATCAGAAGGCATTTGATGGCTGTAGTCGAGATGTATTTGTTGGTGATCTCGTGGTATCGAAAGAATACCGAGATCGCGCCAGGTTACAAGTGTGATTAACGAGCGTAATCGAATTCGTGCAAGGTCACAATCAACGGAAGAGTGAGTGTCTTTAGTACAGCTAAACAAACAAGCACGGTAAAACAATCACTGGTACAATTGGTTATAATAATAATTGTTTCCATTAAATCAATCGCATTCTCTTGATAAAAGTAGGTCACCACAGATTCTTCAGGTTTTGAGGTACGTTGAGATTGGGATCCTTTTGGTTCGGCAGTTGGATTACTGAACAGATTCCTGTGCTTTTTTAATGGTTGGACGACCTCAAGATAAAACTCTACAGACAATTTATCAGCTGATTTTCTTACATGATCTGGACAGTTTTCGATGGTGAATTTTGATCCTTTTCAATCATGATGCCGGGTTCCAGAGGAATGCAGTAGAAGTTCAAGAGAACTAGAATTATGGCATAGTTCGGTATTAGTACATTTATATTTGTAGACTGAAGAATACATTTGGACTGGGGATAGAGTAATATATTTAATGTGAATGCGAATGCATTTTCGCAGACGATCTATACGTCTAGCTGCGTGTGGTCTAAGCTGGAAATTTTTGCAAGTGATGTACAGCATGGCGTATTATAACATGAACTCATAAGGATATTTTACCTAGCTCCTTCAACTTAGGGTGTACAGTGAAAGTACTAGTATCAGAATAAATGTTACAGTCTTATAAACATATTTATTCTGACAGTTCGTTTGCCACTAATTTACCTTGTAAAATGTAATTAAAGTTTATGAACGTCCTATATTTTCGAAAGAATTTGTGGGTGATGCTGTATTTACAAGATTTTAATTTTATAATATTTTACAAGGATTTAATCCGAATGAACGAGTTCGAGCGGTGTCTTTTCATTCCGTCAAGTCTTCAGTCTTCAATAGTATGAACAGTGGGCCGGTTGACCTATATTTATCTTCATAGCTTGTTTGCTAGTGGAGATTGTGATATTTGATACAAACATGTGCAATAAGTACAACCGTTTATTTATTTTAGAATACGATATTCAACTGAAAATTTGAACGTCGAGTGTATCAACTTGTGTTCAAGTGTGTTGTTTACTCAAATGCCTTAAATGTAAATCCAGGTAATGGTTTATTGAGGATGCGAGACGAATATCTGTGGTGCGAAATAAAGCCGTACAGGACTGTCTTTTGTTGGTCCTTCTTGACTCCCTTGTTAGGGTCCCAGAGATGGTGCAACACATTGGCTAGAGACGTTATCAAACATGACCCAGAAAAGAAGCTAGCATAGATTCTGCTGTAACTTTATTTTATTTCCTTCATAAAAGCCAACGTAACTTCTATGATTGAAAAAATCCCTTCTAGTTGTATTTATGCTAAATGGACAATATTTCGTTATTCTTATTATTATTTCACTCATATACTAATTTTTGTTCACCGTTATTTTTCTTTTTATCACACATTTTACTTTTCTATTTCTTCAAAACCTCTTTGTTAATGTGTGGCACATATGTAAATGGTGCCTATTTTACTAATTTTTATGTGCTCAAATAAATAATCATTAGTTCAACCCTTTCCGGTGAGCCGTCCAGATCTCATTAGAGAAACTCGTGATAATTTGAATGTATACTCACTGCTATAGGATTGAAGCTAAACCACCATGGAAAATCTGGAAGTACTGGACAGGCGTTTCGTCCCAGTATAGGACTCCATAGTAATACACACACACGAATAATCATGTTGTTATTCCTCGTTTATTACATGAATTTGTACCCAAAGATCGTCATCATGAACATCTGGGTGTCAGGAAAACGAAATCTTTGGCAAGGCCCACATGTTGATAGCCGGAAACAAATACATCTATGTATCGTACAGCAAACAATCGTAGAAGATATCATAAATAAATAATTCATCGTTCGAAATGAACTCCATGACCATTTTCTTCTGAGATCTGGAAGAGAATTCATGAAGTCTGTTGTATTTCATTTCTCGGTAAATACTATGCACTTGTTATCACCGATTCTCCTTACAAGTGGTCTGAGTTTCTTTCACAACTTCGCCAAAGTCTGACTTCATAATACAAACGCTCTTAGTCTGGAGTGAGTTTCTATTTTGCCAGTGACTGATAATGGCTCTCATTTTACTGCAGGCACAGTAACTACTTAGTTGAATGTTATAGTGTGAAGGGACCTGTTCACCGCTCCCAGACACCATTGCTTTAATGGTCAGGCAGAAAATGTCGTCAGGACATTAAAAACTGCAATTAATTCTGTTGCTTTTTCAACATTCGATAAACTGGAGAGGGGAGTATTACATTGATTTGAATACTTTTAATCATCATAAGGATTCTATCGCTATATTTATTGCGTAGTAAATATGTGATAACGATTGTCTTGAGTATGTACGGCAAATGTGTGCAAACTGTATTTCATAAGTATATAACAATGTACTTTTTACAGATAATCTTGAATTTTTGTGACTTGCACTTAAGCTTTTCATGATCTTTTGTTAAGAAGAAGCACTAAAAAAGCTTTCTTTTTAGTAGCAGCCTTAGGATTTCCCTATCAATTTATGGACAAGAATGTGGTAACTTAAGTGTTCACCGTTTCAAGGAACTGCATATATATGGTCACACATATGATGTATTTAGTGAACAGATTTTCGGTTTTATTTCAATTGATGACCTGTGTAATATGTTTTTCATAGAAAAAAGGTGTAGAGTTGAACATTTGTATTTTGTTTGGTTGGGAAGTGAAAAAAATCCAATAGGCAAACTCTTGATTTTAAGATATCATAATTGTCTGCGAGAATCCAAATGATCGGTTTGTAAAGTTTAGCGATGAAACAAAACATGATTGTCTCTATCATTGGTAACTGTTGTTTCAGTGTCTGTACCAAAATAGAATTAAAGAATAGGCTGTATTTATTTATTCTTTGAAAAATCGCTTAAAATGAGTCACAAAAAACATATGAAAATCTGACTTATATTACTCAGTGGCATATTAAAAATATACAATAGCATTTACTATTTAGTCTTGTTATCCATATGTATCGAACAAAAACTGAGTTCATTGGTAAATTCAAAGCATACTAGAAATAGTAGTAGTAGTAGTAGTAGTAGTAGTAGTAGTAGTAGTAGTAGTAGTAGTAGTAGTAGTAGTAGTAGTAGTAGTAGTAGTAGTAGTAGTAGTAGTAGTAGTAGTAGTAGTAGTAGTAGTAGTAGTAGTAGTAGTAG